AGAAACAGCCCCAAACATGTTGCTGCTGCCGGAGATCTGCCTCCATGTCTCCTACCTGCTTCAGGAGCAGCACCGAGCCAGGCCTGAGCTCGCCCTGTCTCTCTTCCAGCAGCAGGCGATGCACCGTGCCCTGCATCTCTCCTGCGGACGAGGGGACCCGTTAGCCACGGGGAGTGATGGCCAGGAGCCCCAGCCCGACCCAGGCCGTGCTTACCAGTCAGGTCCTTGAACACGGCACCAGCATCGACGTTGGTCCTGGTCAGCGTCTTGATCATCACCGCCATGCTGGGGACCTTGTTCTTCGGGAGCTGCTTCAAGGCTGCCTGCACAGCAACACCCTCGTCACGCCGATGTCGCCGAGGGCAGCCCGGGCAGCACCACGAGGCCACAGGGCGTCTGGAGTCACCCCTGGCTTGGCCCCCTCCCCGCAGCGATGCCTGGCCCTGGAAACACCTCCAAGGGGCAAGGGGAGAGGCAGGAAGCCGAGTCACCGGGGCCGGTGCCCTCACCCGGAGCCCCCCTCACCTTCCGCAGCACCATGACCACGCTGTAGGTCCTGAGGAAGCAGCTGGGGTCCCTCTCGTCTAGCCCCAGCTCCATCTTCATGGCAAGCCAGGGGCCCTTCCCGAAATCCTCTTCTGTGGGTGGCGAGGAGCTGGGCAGTCCCTACAGTCACAGGAAAACCACAGTCAGCACCCCGTAGCCCAGCCACCGCGTGTCTCAACCTCATCACAGCAAGGGGGGAGCCCTGGGGACCCCCCTTTCCCTTCCCGCATCACCCTCAAAGCTGTGGCCTGGGGACTGCCCGCAGCAGTGCCACTGGGATTCATATCCTGATCTGTGCCGGAGCAGGGGGTTACCTCCGTCCGTGGTTTCGCCACAGCCCCGTGAGCTGGAGTATGGGGAGCAGAAACGAGGATCTCCTCCAGGAGCTTCCCAGCATGCTTATGGGAGAGAGGAGGAGAAGGAGATGTCTGAGGTTTTGCATCTCTTCACCAGCTGCTCCCATCCCATCCCCATCCTTATCCCATTCCATCCCCATCCCTGTCCCCATCCCATCCCCTTCCTCATCCCATTCCATCCTTATCCCATTCCATCTCCATCCCCATCTCGCTCCCCACCCCATCCCCTTCCTCACCCCATTCCATCCTTATCCCATTCCATCTCCATCCCCATCTCTGTCCCCATCCCATCCCCTGCACCCACCTGCTGGGGCAGGATCCCAGCAGGCCCCGGGAACCGGCGAGTCTTCCCCTGCGGTGGGAGACTGGGGGTGGCCCCGGGGGCTTTGCTGGCCGCAGTCACCAGCTGCACGAGGTGGTTGGTGACCACAGGCGTCTGCAGGCTGCCCGGGGCCGGCCTGGGCGGCTGCCTC